CCCAACCCCCTCCGAGATCTGCGGTTTCTAACTACCTCACTTCCATCTTGCAAATTTATCCGAGTAACTCACTTGGAGATTGTTCATCTTATTGCCCATATTTGGTCACGTCCAATGTACAACTACGTTCTACGGCAACCCAATTGGCAACACTTTAGCGACGATGTCATCGCTGACGTAGTACAGCGCACAGGACGACCTGGCAGTTCATTCGATATCCACGTCGTCAGAGTCTTGGAACGGTTCCCTCCTCCCGAACAAAAGACACATGACAAAACGGGGAGGCAGGTCATTACATTGGGCCGGGAAACTTCATGTCAAGAAGCAACTTTGCTTACCTCAACTACCGACAAGAAGAGAAAATTGCAGCAATTCCAAGATTTCGACTCGACGTCTGTTAGTAAGCCCAAATTGACCAAAGCCATTGCTAAGCTTGTTTGCTCGGAACAGGCGCGTCAGCGTGAGCTCCGGCGACAGCGGCAGGTTCGGTACCGCAAGAAGAAAGACAAATATGAAAAAGATCTGGCTGAAGAGATTTGTCGTCTTCGACAAGAAATCGGTCAGCTCGAGCTCCAATTGCGGGCGGTCTCGTGCATGAGTGCCAAGATCAACTCTGACTGGGCAGCTGTTGCGGAGTATTTTCGACTCTTCCGCTATGGCATCACGACGAGCTCTGCTAAAGCGCAACCTAACTTCCACGAGGCTTTCACAAGTTCAAAGGTGACTTCGAACTGTGCTATCAATACCCAATATGGACCAGAAGCAATCATTCGAACTTGGAGATCCCTATGTGAGATGTTTGCTGACGTCGAGCTCGAACTGAAGAGTTTGGAAAAGGAAGATGTGGGAACTCTTGTTGCCGCCACGAGAACTAGTGCGACTATCACGGAGCATACTCTCCGCACCGCGTTTCCACATCTTCACCACGGTAAAAATGTTACCGTGACGGAGAAACTTCTAGGACGGCGCATCTCAGTGCGCAGTACCATGAGATTTTTGTGGGATCCTACGCACCGGCGTATATCAAGCGTGATGACCCAGTCAGATTTGTTGACGCCTATGCTTCGGCTTTTTAGGAGTTTAGAGAACGTATCTGACGTGTACGAAGGGGCTATGCTTTCTCTCGACTTCCAACTGAAGACAGACCCGTGACAACTTAAATACAGTTTTTGCATCTGTATAAGTTTTGCGTGCGCCACTAGCCCTGTGGGTTTTGTAAAACGAAGAAGTTGGTGTTGCGAAATTCATTTGACTGTCGTACTATTTTTATACAACGGCGTGGAATGTGCAGCAGTAGCCTAATTTTTTTTGTATTAAGGAGTTATACTAGTAGTACTATATGTGGTTAGCCAATATCAATATGGACACTTCACAACGAACCATAATACTAAAGCTCTTGTTTTAAAGTTTTTTTCCCGCTAAGTGCAACAGCTAATAACCATAAATGTGCTGGTGATCCAGGACACAGTCCGTGATTCATGACAAGCGTACTGAGCAAGTGTGAAAGACAAGGACGGCCAACAAACCAAATAGCAGAGACAAAAGCTCTTAGGAGATCAGTTTTATTACTAAATAGAGCTCTCAGGCATGCCGGTGGGCAATTCTGGAAGTATAGACACCATTTATGATTGTGTCAAGATGTACATGGTTGTGTGATAATTGGTGGTAACACGAACGCCAGAGGTACTGTGAATCGTTCCTTCTTGGCCCCAGTGAGTACGATTGCGCTTAGTTCAACTGAACCTGAAAGTTAGAGGACAGCAGGTCCTTGAACTTTGAGAATTCACGATAATTGCCGTCAACGCTCTTCGAAGCGTGGCCATCTTTCGCTATTTGACTTTTCTGCAGATACAGTGTCAATATCGCTGTAGGCTGCTTCAATACAACAGATGGATCTCAGAAGGCAGGTTTTATTAATTAGTGGGAGGTATATTGTGCTACGTATTCTCAACCACGAGCCTTTGTAGACCAAGGAAAGAAGTCGGCATTGCGGCACATGTCAAGCAACTGTACCAGGCTTGTGACAGCACATGTCCTCAAGGGATGCACACTCGTTTGCCTACACAGTAAATACAACCAGTTAGAACGCTCGCCGTGGTCAAACCTCGACAACAACAATCTCACCAGTTGGCTAGCTCGCTTCCTCAATAAGCTGTGGAGGCTATTTGCAACTTTCTTTTGTCGCTCTACAGCTAGTCTGAGTCGGACATTATCGCGCTCAGCCTCTTCTCGTTGACGTCGCTGGTGAACTGCCTGTTCTTTCCATACACTCGACACCAATGGCGTATTCGAACGACCTATTATCATTGCATCATTCTCCGACTTCTCCCTGCAGTGGTTTTGAGTGTTTTGACTCTGTAAGAGTTTCCGGTCGAGCTGTAGCTTTAATATTTGCTGATTCAGTACTGCAATCTCCCTCGTGCGATCATTGCGAACTTTGTTTGAGTCTCCATAGATGCCAGCTTTACGCAGCATTTTCTTCCGTTCGTTTATCTCCATTCGTCGTCTTCTCTTCTCTTCACTTGTCCTTGGGATTTTCCGGTGAGCATTTGTCCTTTTCGACAAAGGAATCGCCGCCGACATTGACTCATCCTGGCTTTGCGATGGCACGTTGTCTGGTGGTATTCGCAGATTTTCCGCGGCTGCTTCATCGAACGAGAACTGCTCCACAAAGTCCAACATAACCTCAAAGAAATGAGTGCCATCCATCATCTCTAGTGTCCGTCGCTATGATGTCGGACAAACACCACTTACAAGTTATTATCGAACTGCGTTGCTGCGCTGTTATGTTTTGATATACTCAATATATGGAACAGTGAGCTGAACATATGGAATATACGCCGTAATCGTGATAGCGTCATTCTATCACCAACGTCATCATTTTTCAACTTGCTTACCAGCCACGCTTACCAGACATCAATGATCGCGTGCGCTTGCGATCAAATCGTTGCATCTACGGTGGGTTGCTCTACAGCATTACTGTTAATTTCCGGCTAATACTGTATGTACGTGGACATTGTTTGCAAGCTACGCTTGGAAAATAACAAAGTTGTGTTTACGCAGAGAAGAAATATCACGAAGCCAAACGAGTTAACAATCATCTCACAAAAAGGCAAAAGATACATGTTTTGCCTTTTTGTGATTGTTAACTCGATTGGCTTCGTGATATTTTTGTTGTACATTACATGCGGTTTATCGTTTGTTCTAACAGTACTGTGCGACCACAAAAAGCGTATAGGTGGTGGGAATCTGATGTACCTGCTTCACAGCCATCATCTGCATGTACGCTGAGGTCTGAAATTCACATAAATGATTATTTCGCCTAGTCGTAACTTTACCGTGATGCCGCAATTTTCAGGTTAATACGTTTTCAGGACGCTGAGAAATTAATAGTTCGACAGCTATAGAGAAATGATTCTGAGCAATATCCTTGCCATCGAAAATGGGAGTGTAGCAGTGACAAACACAAACTATATTTCGGCTCAAAAGCTCGATTACCAGTAACCGGTGGCTAGTAAAAGGTGAAAACATGAATAAATTGGACACACAGGTCGTACGCCAACAAATAACTTATATGCATTACATAATATAACCACGATTTCAGTGAAAATAATCCTCAATCAGCCAACAACTCCTTTATCATTTCCAATTGCAACGTGGTTCAGGGGATGCATACGAAAGATTATGAATAGAATTAAATATTCTATGACGGCTGGCATAGCAACATCTGTTAGCTTTCAATTTAAAAACAACAAAATCGTCCAGGTTTTGAAATTTGTACATCTAACCAAAATCTAACCAAAAAAAACTTGGCAAACCTGTAGTTACCTTGTCTAAACCTCAACAATTTCCAGAAACCACTGAAGTACTAAAGATCATGCAGTCTGGAGGACACTGTCATGTGACAAGATACTGTACATGCTCGTTCGCCCGCTATTAGGACTGAGAAAATGGCAGTGTAGATGTCGACCAGCGCCATACCTTCACTAGAGTCACGAGGTGGGATCGATCAAAAGCGATTGCTCTTGCCTTGTCATGCAGTGCTTGACACCGCGCATCAATTAGAGATGGAAATCGTCGCCAATCTCCATCTCCAGTACAGCGCAAATAGACACTTAGAGCATACGGCTAAAATTTGCCTGTACAAGATCCCTAGAAAAGGGGTCGCCCAGGACGAGCTAATAGTTTAAGCTGATGCCCTATCGACGATGACCCGCCCAATCTCACGATCTAAGGTACAGTACATATTATTATAATGCGGCTCCTTTAAATGATACATCTGTTTTCTGCCATCAATGATTGCGTGGGAGCTCGTTGTGATAGATAGATACCAGCTTTTTTGGACAACAACTACCTACCTCATAGTGAACCCAATGCATGGCCCGCTAGTACTTAACACATACTACGTAGTAGGTGCACAATTATTACTTGTAAAGAGATGCTGTAATTGGCCAACCCTTCTGCGGCTGCCCAGATACACTACAGCAGCAGCGATGTTGTAGCTAATTAGAGATGCATTACGATGTAATTGTGGTATATATTCTCCTCGTCATTGATAAATCTGATCGTTCAATTTTTGTCACTACCTCGCGTTTGCAACATGATTCGTCATCGCCAAAACAACGTAAGCCACACTGAATTTCTCATATTTGGTTGAGTGCGTGCCCACTCCCACGACAAAGATAGCTCCTGTGATGGTACCGGCATCGTGCCAATGTGGCCTAGCACTCGCAGGCGTTCGTCATCGTATCCCATCTTTAGGTCGATATAGAGATGTTCACGGGGTTTCTCGACAATACTCTGTTGTCAAACGCCGCCGCCTCAATCCGTTGACGCTCACGACATGGTGAAGTTTTTAGCGTGTTAACATGTTGTAATCAAGTAACTTATCGTCCTCACTTGTAATACGTATGTTATCACTCTACAAATAGTTAAAGTGGCGATGATGACGTACTAAGCCCCACCTACAATAAGTTTTTTTTTTTTTTTTTTTTTTTTTTACTGTTATGTGGATTGCCTTCGCAGGACATACGGAGTTGTTAGTTGTTACAGCACGATGCACCAGCTGATACAGGGGTTGCGAGACTGGCAGGCACCTAGCACACAGTACTGTATTTAGAGTAAGCGTTCGGCAGTGACTTATGCCCCATGACTCATGGATCCTGAAGCCGAATCGCCATTATAGCTCGACGATCTCGCGAAAGCTTACAAGATTTGGCAGTTCATATCTAATACTCATGGGTGGCCACAATCATTGGGCCCCAAGCCTATGCTACTCGGCAAGTTTTGAGGATTGTACGTACTGTCTCCTTCTCCGCGTCTTGCAGTGGAGCTGTGAAATGTAGACAAGTAAGTAGACGCAGATGCTGCTCACTTTCCAATTCTCCAGACTGCAACAAGGGCCACTCTCGAATATTCCAGTCAAGCAACGTCTCCATGCTCACCATTCGCTTCGTTTCCGCAGCCATTGCCTGTGTTGCGTTACAACTACAGAAACATGCTGTAGCAGCTACGTCGCTCAAAGACGACCCAGTCACGACGTGCACCTCGTACGATATCGGCAACAAGAACTTTCCTGGCCGCGGGTCCGAAATTGAAGACGATGGTACGTGCATAGTCATTGTGCCGGGAAACCCAAGTGCTTCAAAGCGCAAGCTGGAGGCCATACTGGACAATGATATTATAAAGTTGGAAGATTTCTTCGGTGCCAAGATGGAGAAGAAACTGAAGAACCTGCCCACTTCAGCTAGCCACCATCCGTTACCATGGAACGGCCCGAGCTGGCTTACCTACCAAGACAGCATCAACTACGAGTGGAAGAAAGGTCAGCCAAGTCCTGCCGAAAAGTACGCAACCGCCTTTGGTCTCAACGTGAACGATTTCATGAACAAGGTTTCGGCTCAGAGTGGCATCGATTCGCAAAAGAACGTCAGCACATCGTGCACTACGGACAAGGACTGCGACTCATCGTGGGAACTAACGATGTGTGCCATCCGTACCAACGCGACATCGGGCTACTGCATCCCTTCGTGGTACGGTCTGAGTCATGCATGGGCACCGGCCTCCGTCATCGAGAAAGAGCCCCTCTGTCCTGTGGTCTTCAACGGAGTAAGCTTTCATCCCATCGACATTATGGGGTTGATCACGCACATTTACGATGACGCCAATGTCGATGTACCTGTCGTATTCACTGGGTCTCGCTACAGTGGCGGCAACGACTCAACCGATTCGTACGGCAGGAGTTCGGATTACTCGTATCGTGACGTGAACCCTGGGTTCTTCCATATCGCCGCTAGCAACCTCCTGGGCAAGCTCAATCACACCTTCATCATTGACAAGTATCCTAGCTACGGCGTGTGGAACCTGCCCGTATACGGATTTAAAGTGCTCGAACAGACAAGCATGACATTGAAGGAGGCTGCACAAAACTTCTACCACGTAGAAACATATCCTTGGAACGAGAACTCTACTAGCATCGTCCACATCAAGTCCCGTCTGTTGTGGAATAACGAGACGAGTGCAGACTCTCACTTGATTGTGCTTCGTGACTCCGGTGTGACTTTCGAGTACTTGCTCGAATTGGGTGAAGACGAAGAGATCATCGGTGGGGAGTGGCTGAACGAGTCAAACGACGACCACCCAGATTTCCTTTGGTTTCCCAAGGGAAAACCTGCTGCTGATTCGGTGACGAGTATCGGTTTGAGCTATGCCAATGTGACGGTGTTGCTAGAGAAAGCAGCGATGTGCTCGACTCGGCTTAGAAGGCGAGATGAAGTGAGTCGGTCTTGAGACAGGATTGGTGAAGTCAGGAAGGGGATGACATCAACAACGCATTGTCTAAAACAATCCGTTGGCTCAACGAATGGCGTTTAATTTCTCCTTGAATACAAAAGCTGGTCACCAAACAATATTACACTCTAGTACAGAGTTTTCATAACGAATTTGATGCTCATTGTGCTTACAGCAATTCCTTAACAGGTATTTGGTGTGACAGCAAACTACATTTCTGTCCTTGATATAAACAGGAATATTATTCCGAGTATCACAGCACTCGCTCGCAAACTGCAAGAGTTGATAAAGAGACTTGTAATAAGTATCGAAAGTGATCATTGAATTGTACCCACTACTGCATGCAATTGTACCACAAGGGCTGGAAAAATGGAAAAAAAAATCAGTAGATGAGTGCCTATCTTAGCAGACCACCATTTACGTAGTACACAACCTTCGACAAGTGGCATGACATTCCCAGGACTAGAGCCGAAAATTTAATCGATACTAGTGGAGCATCCGCGGGCAGTTGCTTAAGGTGCAACTGCCTAGAATTATGTGCAAAACATAATTTTGGACGACGCCCCCGCTCCTTTTTCTCATACGACCTACCTACTGAAAATCTTATCAAGATGGCCAAGATGAAGTCTACCGCGGCTACCGGAAGCAAGCAAAGGGCGATTAAAGGTGTGGTAGAGGACGTGTGTCGGTGGGTTGTTTGATCATTTATCCTTGTGATGCTGTGGCCCAGGACGATCTACGGGGAAAGTGGTGTTTACCGTCAAACGCACAGGTAGAGTTGGCTAACTTCGTACATAAAGGACTGACGTTTAATTGCTTCAACAGGAAGCAAATCTGTGGGAAGGGACAGGTTGAGGAAGATCAGAAGTTGCTTAAGAACTCCACCATGGTAGAGAACAACCTTCATGCAGTGTCTGGGCCCGACACCGTCCATGTCAGTGAACGGGCCGCGGAAGTAGTCCGTGCTGCCCACGCCCGCGCGGCAAAAGTGCTGAAAACACAACACCGTACGTGCTAGTTTGTTCTACACTTGATTGTGAGCGATAAACAATAATCGATACTGCATATTTCACTAATGATTAATCCATGTTATATGTGCACAGCGTGTTAGTCAAGCAGCTCATGCAGGCGTGTCCGAGGCTCCGAAGTATCAACGAAAGAGTGACAATAGTTAGTGTCGTGGAAGCAACGAGATGAGGACCACGTTTCCGTAGTTTGCCGAAGTTCACTTTAAGGATAAAGGAAGTACTTGAGTTCGTATTGACATGTTTTGGTATGGCTTACACCGTTTTCACTACTACAGCCTACGTTTTGAGGTGAAGGTGCGCTGATGGTAAAAACAAAGTCGAGTATTGC